AGGTCAGAAGACGGTGTCAGATCCCCTGGAATTGGAGTTACAGATGGTTGTTAGCTGCCATGTTGGTGCTGGGAATCAAACCCAGGTCCTCTGCAAGAGCAGCCAGTACTCTTAACACTGAGCCTTCTTTCAATTCCCAGCTAGTCTCCTCGATTTACTTTTTAAAAAGATTTATTATGTTTGTGTGTGCATGAATTTATGTGCACCACCTTCATTCAGGTACCCTTGGAGGCCAGAAAAGGGCATCAGATCCTCTGGTGATCACCTGATATGGGTTCTGGGAACCACACTCCAGTCCTCTGCAAGAGCAGTATACTCTTTTAACCACTGAGCCATCTCTCCAGCTCCTACCCTATATATCTTTAATCACCTTTTATATTCAAATAATATACCAATTCTTATATAGCATCAGCATTCTTTAATATATTTTCAGGTCTATCCTATCATTATTATATAGTTATTATCATACACTTTGATTTTACAGTGCTTGTATCATAAATCCATTACCTTGCTACTCATTTTTAAAATTATTATTTTTATTTTATATGTATGAGTGTTGTGCCTGCATGTATATAAGTGCATTCATGTAATGCAAAGCCCAAGGAAGCCAGAAGAGGGCATTGGATCCCCTGAAACTAGAGTTATGGATGAGTGTTAGCTGCCATGTGGGTGCTAGGAACCGAACCCAGGTCCTCTGCAAGAGCAGCCAGTGCTTTTAACCACTGAGCCATCTCTCTAGCCCATACTCTTTTTCTCTAGACATGCAAGTATCTTTTTTATTTTTAAGGCAGGATCTCATGTAGCCAGGCTGACCTTGTCAAGCTTATTATGTAACCAACCAAGGATGGCCTTGAACTTCAGATCCTCTTGGGTCTACCTCCAAGTGCTGGAATTGTAGGTGTGTGTCACTGGTCAAGTTGTCAATGCAATGATGGGGATCGAACTCAGGGCTTTGTGCATACTAGGCAGGCACTCTGCCTAGTCAGCTACATTCCCAGCCCTAGTTCTGGCTTTTTGTTCCACTATTTTTATGTGTTTCAGCTTGAGGAGCCTCTGTTGACATGTCTTCAAGTTCACCGGCTCCCTCCTTAGCTATGTGGAACTTACTGCTGAGCCTGTCAAAGGTATTCTTCAAATCTCTGGCGAATGTATGTTTCTAGCATTGCCATATGAATTGTTGTAACCTCTCTCGCTGCTAAAATTCTGCTTATTTATAGTCTGTGTTTTCCGTGAGAGCTTTTCATATATTAGTTACAGTTTTCTTAAATTTTCTGTCAGGTAACTACAGTGTCTGGGTCTGACATCTAGTCCTTCTGATGACTTTGTCTCTTGACGGTTTGGGGGTTTTAAAAAATAAGCATGCATGGGGCTGGAGAGATAGCTCAGTGGTTAAGAGCACTGACTGCTCTTGCAGAGGACCCGGGTTCGATTCCCAGCACCCACATGGCAGCTACGAACGATCCTTAACTCCAGCTCCAGGGGAATCCAAAGCTCTCCTCTGACCTCCACGGCATTGCACGACACGGGTGCACTCACATGCAGGTAATACACTGATACACATAAAATAAAACTAATAAATAAAAGAAAAGCAAGCACGCAAGTGTGTGTGAGACTAAGCATCTACTCCACCCATTAATAAGAAATAAGACACTCTGCAGGCTGCTCAGGGACATCACTCAGTGGTCCAATGCCAGCTTAAAGGCCTAATAACCACAACAATGACTGGCACAGCAAACAATATTGGGACAGTAGTGGCACTTTTATCTTGGGGGGTAATCAGTAGCTACCTAACTGGACTTAAAGCCCACTCAGTGGGAAGAAACTTGTGTGTGGTACTGTAAATATAGCCAAATACACATGGCTGGAGAGGCCAAAGATATTAGAGAAAACCCTAAGGCTGCTACATTCCTAGACAAATGTAATTTCATACTATATGCTAAATATTGATCCTTATATTTACAGACAAGTACACCAGTCACCACTCATCAAATAAGCTTCTTTTTGCAACAAACAGAGACTATTACAGAGTTCTACAACTGGTCACACACAGAGAATAAGTGTCTATGAGATGCCCAACCCTAAGTGACATGTCTACAATGAAACTTCTATACCTAAGGCTCATGGAACATAGTGGAACAGGGACAGAAAGAATACCAATACATCCCTCAACTCTCATCAGCGAAACTTCCTGCAACAGAGTGCAATACACACAGGAAGTCCACAACTGGCCAAGGCGTACAGAATAAGAGACTGCAGAGTGTGTGTCCCTGGACAGGACTCCTATATTAAACCTCACCCACCTGTGACCCAGGGACCATTGCAGAAGAGGAGCAGAAAGACTGTAAGAGCCAGGGGAGAAGGTGCATGACCATATGGAAAGAGAATCTTACAGGCTTCTGGGACCTTGCTTATATGGACCTACAGCAATGGTGCCAGCAGACACAAGACCCATGAAAACTCAAGCAGACAAAAACTCCTCATAGAACTGGGGAAATAGGCAGCAGGCTCCAACCTTAGCCAAAGAACTATTGGCAGCTGGTTACTGCTGGGTGAGGGAGAACTGCTCTTCTTTAAGGGAGTGACTCTAGATAGGCTGACTAGACCCCAGTGGATGAACTTGCATTGAGGGGCATCTGGGTACACTAACTTTACTCAACAGGCCTTAACATAAATGACAGAATCCCTAAGATCTAGTAGGGGCGGGGGGGCATATAAAGATGGTTAAGATGTTCTGTATGAAATATATAAAAATTCAATAAAAATTATACAAAAAGCTGGTTGTGGTGGCACACGCCTTCAATCCCAGCACTCAGGAGGCAGAGGCAGGCGGATCTCTGTGAGTTCAAGGCCAGCTTGGTCTACATAGTGAGTTCTAGGACAGCTGGGACTACAGGGAGACCCTGTCTCAAAAAGACCAAAAAAAAAAAATTATACAAAAAAGAAATAGGACTCAAACCTACTAAAATATTTCTTGGAAAATTAAAATTGCAACAGGGTGGGATGTGGTGGCACATGCCTTCAGTCCCAGCACTCAGGAGGCAAAGGCAGGCGGATCTCTGTGAGTTCAAGGCCAGCCTGGTCTACATAGTGAGTTCCAGGAC